TTTTTAAGTTTCATCCAATTTAGGCTATTTAAAGTGCACAAATCTCCAAGAATTATTATATGTGTGCGCTTGAGGGTTGGCTGCTTGTATTTATCACTGGTGTAATCGTATAAAGTTATACCATAGAATTTACGTTGTTTTTTTTTCTTGGTGAATATAAATTGGTCATAGATGTTCTCAATATTTGTCTTATCTGTTACTAAGTAGTTGCATGTCTTCTACTTTGTTATTGCCTCAGCAAAATTTTCTTTCACTTGGTCTTTTGTGTCAAAATTGTCCATATTCATGTTGTTAACGTATGTATGTATGTATGTATATATATATATATATATATATATATATGAAAAAGATCTTTGTAAAAACAAGAAGACAGATATACAGCAAGAGGATAAGTTATCTTCACAGAGAAGCACATATATATAGATTTGGTATTTTGGCAGAGGCTAGAGGGAGCATTGGTTTCTATGCATAGTAATTGAATAATAAAGATACATCCTTTTCTTTGCCAAATCCCAACTGTAATTGGCACGTATTTTTGGGGCATGAATGCATCAATCAATCAATCAATCAAAGCCTTAATCCCATAAGAGGGGTCGGCTACATGAACCAAAAGTGATTATTCTGTGTAGTCATCGACAAAAATCTTCCTCCATCCCTTACAATCCAATGCCTCATCCTCATGCAAATCCATATACTTCATATCCTTCCTAACTCCTTCCAACATGTAACAGGTGCTTCATTATTTTGGGGTTTGGGTAACCTGACAGATGTTGTGTACATCGATTTGTAATCTGGCGCAGTCCTTGCCATACCTTGATGTTGTATTTTATAGATAGGATCACGAGTGGTTCTCTAGTTTGAGCGCTTGTGTACACTTTCTTATAACAGATCCTAAAAAAAGGGAAACTACCTATGTTAACCTTATGTTATTTGTTATTCTGAAATGATCCTACTTCACAACATGGAAGTCTCTTCAAATTGTTATAGATACTCTCCCACGTTGTTTTTTGAAGTTCAAGGTTATTTAGGAGAATGTCAAATAAGTGAGGGTTGGATTTCCCAACACGTGTCACGTCATTTTATGGACTTAATATGGTTTATAATCTTTATATGCTTCTTGATTACACTCCTTGTTCACCAACATAATTGCTCATGTTTTTTTCTGCAGCACATTATCCATAGCATGAAGAATCCAAGCATTGCTGCATTTTGGCTTCTAACTATGCCACAGATTGTTGGTGGATTCAACTTTGATGATGAAGTCAAACAGAAAATTTGGTGGCAATACAAGGTTTGAGGTCCTTTCTTGTTATGCTATTCTTTTTGACAAGAGTGCATAAAGCTTTCCTTCATCTCTGGCACGAGGCTTGCTTTGTTGGAACCTGTGGCCTAACTAACAAAGTTTTAACCCACTGGCAATGTGACCTTGTGGGTTGTCAGTGAATGAACTAACATGCAGAATCCACCAACTGCAATCTCCTTGTTTATGCTATCTTTCTAAAATTTCCTTGCTGAGGATATCACTGGTTTAGTCATGTACTCATGTCTTTCCTCTCTTCTCATAAACTACTTTGATCAAAGATTTTATTTTTATATTTTCTCATTAACAAGTGCATTATTTGGGGTGATCTACTTTTATTAGTTTTGAAATTCCAGAGGAACTTGAAGGATGATGCTAAAAATTGTGTCTACTCTCACCAGTGCATATAGTTTCATTTTCTCTTCTGGATTTTAAATACTCCTTGCTTTGACTCATAATTGGTTTCTGGTATGATGTTTCTTCCTCTTGTTATAGGAGTCAATGCGTTATGATCAATTGCGAGATGTAGTGGCTCAACGACAGCCTGGCTGGGAACATTTGCAACAAGTAAGCTTTCCTTGATTCTTCCTGATTTTGCTATTGAAATTAAGTTTGGTCATCAAATTGCTGTACTGTGTAATTCAATTTTTTAGCAGACCCCATTATTGATATTAATGATATGGCCATATGGGTCAAGCTTGAGCTTGGTTAAGCTTGACTTAAGCTCATGATGTTTGAACTAAAGTGTTTCTATGTTGTTTTGTTGCAAGTTGAAGCTCTTTAATATCATATATATTGTTTCAGATAATACTCCAATAATTATAAAGAGGGTGTTTCTATATGTTTTGATGACAGGCCTTAGTCACGCTTGATCCTGCCCGGGCTAGAGATGACCCTGTCGTGGTAAAAAATGTACCGTACTACAAGGCCAAAAAAGCACTAGAGATGGAAGTTATGAAGCTTGATCCTCCTCCACGACCAAAAAATTGGGGTGTAAGTATGGTAACTTGCATAATTGCATCTACCAAGTAAAACAGTACATGGTAAAACTAGAACTGGAACTAGCAGGTATCTAGTCAAGTACTGGTAACCTAAAACCCTAATAATACTAGTTTGTGGGTTTATGCATGTCTTTTGTTGGCAAGTACATTCTCTTTGCAGCTGGCACCTGGCTGAGAAGCTGTGACTGTTGGAACTTGTTTTCTGAAATTTATGCAAGTCTGCTGTAGAAAACTCTATTCTTGTTAACAAGTGGATTTTTACTTTCCATTTGTTCTCAATAGGAAGTAACATAAATATAAGCCTATACTGTGTTCGAAAATATGCCAAGAAGAATTTACTATGTTTTTATGAGCTTGATATGCTCTATTTCATGGAGCAAAGTTTATTCAACTGAAAATGCATAACTGAAGCATGATTGTCTGGATTAACTACTATGTATGAAATGTTTTGCAATTACAGGAATTGAATCTTCCATTAGATGCATCTTCTTGGAACAAGGATGACCTTAAAGATCCAAAGAAGATGGATGAAATGACTCTTCTCCTCAATGCTCAAAGGGAGATTGCTGAAAAAATTTTGGATGCGCAATGGGAGGCGAAATGGCGACATAATAAGGTTGGTCATATCAATTCATTTTCTGATTCATTTTGATTAATTCATTTCAAAATGGCAGCATACCCAAGAATTAATCTATTTAGAAAATCTGCGATTGAATATCAAAAGAAGCAATTAATCTGCCACTTTTCTGGATAGACTTAAAGTTGGCTTTTTATGTATGTAATTTCTTGGGGGGAAAAATCCATGGTAACATTTTAAATATGCTGCTTGTCTTTTTTGATGTGTAGTTGAATGAGATGTTGGAAGAGAAGGTGCAACCATATATTCAGAATGTTGACACTCTTTCTCAACCAATCATCATGCATCCACCAGCTGAAGACAAAAAGGTTTGTATCATCCTAACACTAATCTACTTTCAAATTTATTTTGTTTGAATTAGTCACTGCAATAATTCTTTCATTCAAATGGTTAGGTATTATCTGTAGTTTTACCTGTATTAATATGCTAACAATCCACAAAAGTAAGGAAATCAAATGGACGGCATTCAGCTTTCTGATACTAAGAACCATTATGTCAAATACGTATGATGATTAAGATAATGAACTTTGCCTCAAAATGTGAAGAAATGAGCACAGAAATTGATTTGACCGTTGGCAGTGGAATCTGTTCTTCTGGACATATGTTTTATATAGAATAAAATTCATGAGATATTTGTTCATATCTGATACAAAAGAAGGCTATAATATATCTAAAAGAGTAAAAGAGTGAAGACAAAACGGTGCTGGATTTGTGGCAAATAGTTTCCTTGAAGACAAGATAATAGCTGAAATAATTAAACATTGTTTAATATCAGACTACAATCAACCTTCTCGAAATGATATATTTTATTGGCTATTGCTGGAAATATTGTTTGTGGAAGAGAATTCCAAAACCATTCCAAAGATTGGCCTTAATGTTAGAGGACATTATGGTGAACTAGAATGGGAAAATTTTCCATCTCAAGGAGCTTTATTATAAAATTTTGGGGAAAAAAAGGGAAATAAATGATATGTTTGTGTTATAATATAGTGTTTGTTGAGAAAGTTGGAAAAGATTTCCGATCTTGGTGACAAGGATACCACTTCTCCCTTAAGATAAATTGTTTAGACAGCAGTTGTAGCCTGTGGACTTCATATATATTATTTATCCCTCTGCATATCATTGAGATTTTCTGTTTCTTACAATGATGTTATATCTATTGCAGCGGAAATCAAGGCAGCGGAGATGGTGGTTCTTTTGAAAAAAGATCATACGAGGTCAACAAGGGTGTTGTATTTTTGATAGGATGTGGCTTCTGAAGATTGTTATAATATGTACATGTCGGAGTAGTCACTCAGTTATCTATAGTTTAGTTCATTTGTGTCTTCAAGCTTTGTTTTATAGCACGATGATGGTTGGATCTGTTTTCAAGCAATTCTAGCCTTGTAAACCCAAGTTTTTCAGACATATTCCCCTTGTTTTATACAGGGGAAGAGGATCATATAGTTGGTAAAAACCTTGAGATAAATTGCTTCATATTATTATTTTAAAGGAATAATTTCATAGTTTATCATCAAATGGTTGATTTCCAAGGCTCTATCAAAGCTTTTTACTAACCTAAATAATGTTTCCGGCCAAGTAATAGACCCCTTGTTTCACATCTTATCTACTACAGTTGGAGTCCTAGAAACACAGTATGGACTAGCATACGAGTGATTAGTGAATGTCGTACAGCTCTACATGTCCATTGACAGATCATCAAAACGATCAGTAGGAGGCAGCAGTCTAACTTTTGGCACAACGAGAACACAACCTGAGCTAATGCTCCCGTCAAGAGGTAATCAGTCCTAATCTGCGGAGGTTCGAAACTTCGAACTCAAGAAACTCACACAGGATAAGGTGCCATATCATGCACATATTGATCATACAGTACAAAGCTTGTCATGTGCAGGTGCAGCATCATTGGTATTGTCTGCTGATCTTAACCTCAGTCTTCTGGTAGATTAAGCTTTCTAAGTTACTAGGCTAAACAAATTATTCACATAAGAAACATGAGCAAATGAATGAAATATTCATATATCTTTATTTTTCAAACAAAACTGAACAATGCTTTCGCCTCACATACAAAAGTTGATGATGGTGTAGAACAATAGAAACAAACATATTCTAATGGAACAATGCAACAAAGCCATACCCTAGATGAGAAGGGAAAATGTCTAAGTACACATAATTTTTTTTTCCTTTATTCAAGATATAATTTGTTCCAGAAAATGAAAAAGCAAGAGTACAAAAAACATATCATAAATTTGAAATGAAAGTAAAAAATGTATATGTGTTAGGATTAATTAAGACGTACAATAATGGTAAACCAAGTTTAATCATACAATTCCTCTCGTATTACATAGGAGAAAAAGGCTCCTGTTAAGTGAAATCGGTGTTATGATCAACCAAGGTTTCTAGCGCAATGGGTGATGTAGGTGCAGCCTCTATTGTAGGGGTTGGCCCTAGCGTTACTCCTACAGTTGTAGTATGACCGCCCTCGTCGACTGCATGGTACGTTGTTCTTCTTCAATGCATCGTAGCTTATGTACCTGCGTTTTACAAAGTTACCCTGGCCTCAAAGTTCACCTTGAAATTTTCCTTGTAGTTTTTGAACAATAAGCAATCAACAACATTAAAACATTTATAAGATAATTTATTTGTGTGGATTTCGTTGTACACCCTTTATCTTATGATCATAAGACCTCCAAATGTAAATGAATCAAAATCCGATTTTCCTACATCTAATGTACTTTAATAGGACCGATGAGGCTTTGGCTTAGTAGCAAAGACTAAAGGTCTGTGTACGATAGGTCACAAGTTTAAATCTCCCTCTTCATTTGTAAATTGTAATGCCCTTGTGGCTCATTCGCACAAAAAATAAAATGTATTTTAACAGGCATGGTCCATTATAACGTGACAATTACATTTTATTCACATGTTCTCTTAGCTTAGCTAGGTAGGAAATGCATGCATGCATGATCCATGCAATTACAACATAGGTCTAAATTACCTTCTCCTCCCACGCAACTGGCGGCGATCCTCATCACTAGTGTCAATCACCTCATCTTCCTCATCACCAATGCAATCTCCTAGGCGTCCATTACACGTACGCATGATAGGCAGGTCGCCGTCACCATTAGAGGCCAAGGATCGGGACATTCCCCAAGTTGAATCATCGAACGATGAGTATGACTCGGTCCCAATCACCAAGGCCAAGAGAACAACAACAAGCCATAGTTTAAAAGCCATGCAACTTTCTAAGAGAAACCAAAAATAAATTGAAGAAGAGAGAAAAGATATAAAATGTGTGTTATAATTTATTAAGGGGTATTTGATATATTTTCTTCCCTTCTTGTCCAAATACGTAGGAAATTGAAAAGAATATAGGTGGTTATTAGGGTAATGGAATGAGAGAAAGAGGGGGAGATGGATGGTGGTGAAAATGAGGAATTTTGAGGGTGAAAAGCCAGTTAATTATGCTTTGTTTATAATTTTTTAATTTGGTTTTTAGTTGGAAAATTATGATTTGTAATGTGTGTTAGAACGTAATTTTCGTAGGGATATGGTTGTAAGTGTTTTTTCTTCTCACTTTTTTTTTTGCTATATAGTGTTATTTTTTCATGTTCTTGACCAAATATTCAACATTATTCCCAAATTAAGGTTATTATATAAAAGTTTATTTCGGTTGGTTTGTTGACATTTTCATGTAAATTTCCTTTAGAAAATTTCAAGTTATTACAATAAGAAATTAAGAATAATGGATGTATGTGTGTGTTAATTTTCTTCCTTCAATATGTAATTTATATTTGTATATGGGTAAAAACGTCATTCTACCTGGAATTGGTAAACTCTAACTCGTATTTGATACGTGACCTCTATCTAACTAGTGTAAATCTAACCCCAAACACTAATTTAACTCAAAATTATGAATCATCTACACCCGAATCATCTTTGAACTAATAGAATTAAATCAACCTTATTAACCCCGAAAAGAGTTTAATAGGTGATCTCTATCTCATGTCAATTTGAATACTTATCATATTACATTTACATATCTCTATTATATAAGTGAGTGGTGTCCACCTAAAATTTCTAAATTGCCCTTATTTTCATTAAATGTAGATTTGATGAGAGTTAATGGTATATTATACGGTCTTTAAATAGAAATGTAATTATTGTTATAACTATACACAAAAAAGAAAAAAGGTTCAAACTATTTTAAAACGAGTGAAACTGAAAGTGTTCAAATTAGAGGCGAACAGAGTAAACTGACAATTGACCCAAATACAAATGACAATTTAAATGGTACTAAACCTAGAAAAGGTTTATTCACTTACCACATCAGCATTATACAGACCCACATCTAACAAACATAAGTAATACCAACAATAGATAAATTTATCATGCAAGGCAAGTAAGCTGATATATCCCTACTTTTTAAAAAAGTATGACAAAACATTTATGAGTAGTGTGAGAACAATTATATTTTTAAAATGTTTGTTTACCTATATGCCCCTATTAATGTGATTGTAATTGCCTCTAAGTTTTTCTTTGTGTGATTTAATAATTTGACTCTTAAGAAAAGTGTATGGACAATTATATCCTCTAAAATGTTTATTTATTTATTTGCCCTCATTAACATTGATTTCCTTTTTTTAAAATCTCAAAAATAGTGTGCGGATATTTATATTTGTTTACATGTTCTCGGTCATTATGTTGCCAACAATTGAAAGAACTCATTAGAAATGGCTAGATATGGCGTGCACATCGTGCGCGTTAGTCACCTCAACTTTTTTAAAATTTGGATCAAAATTTTTGGGCCCACCGTTGAACACATGGAAACTAATTTTTACATGAACAAACCCTAACTAGCCCCAATTTTGTAAATTAGGTATCTAATTTTGAGTTTTATTTGTATAATTTGAATTTGCAATTTAAAGTCCTAAAAGGCTAAAACTGTTTTTTTTTTGTTTTACTCGACTTAAATTGACTATTCACTTTAATTGGGCATGTCTTCTTTACAGACTGGGCCTTTGCAAATCATCCTAAAAGCACAATTTTAAAAATGGTTACAATGAGCAACGGGCCACGCCACTTATGAGTGGGAATCTTGTCGTCTTCTTTGCCTTATTTTTGTCATTTCAATAATTTTTTTTTAAAATAATTGTCATTACAATCTTTATTTTGCTTACTTACTCAATTTTGTTTTCTTATTTTTTTTATTTACTTATAATTTGTATCTTAATAAATGATTTTATAAAAAAATTACTACTTTCATATTTTATTTTAGTTTTAAAGAATTTTATATTTTACATACTATGTGTAAAGTATTACTTTTCATAACAATTGCACATTTTTTTTCAATTTATTATACGCAGTGGATTGATTTTGGAGTTCAAAGTTTGGAGCCAAACTGTGAGTTTTGAAGAAAATTTTCCTGTAACCAATATCTATACTATGTATAATTTATTAGATCAATCACATATAAAAATAAAAGTTTAGGACTCTTGGATAAAAGTTTAATTAATATCCCAAATGTATTTTCCTTAAAAAAGCAACAACCATATCTTTAAGAGTTTATATTAAACTGATAACAATTTCCTTTTTGAGGGCATAGAAAAAATAATAATGATTTTGAGCATTCTAAAAATAATTTAATTAATATGCAATAACAAATTTATGGGATGACTAATCACTCTCAAAGATGTTGAGAGAGGCTGTAAAAAAAAACAAAAAAAAAAAAAGTTGAGAGAGTGAAGAATAGCTTTGTTAAAAAAGCTCTCTTCACGATCTCAATGAATCTTGTGATCAATTCTCATTACTCACCCTTGTGGTTCTCTTAACCCCTAAAAAAAGCTCTCAAAGATGTTAGACAAAATAATTCATGGTTGATGGCATTCTAGTAAGATAAAAAAAAAAAAAAAAAAAAAAAAGGTTTTTGATTGTCAAGACTCATTTTCAATATATATGGTGATGATTGTTTTGACTTCTGTATGTAATAAAAAATAAAATTTGTACTCATTCCTTTGCTGTTACGTTAATCATAACATCCAATAATGTCATGATATACACCATTATTTGGAAAACACCCTTTAATATCCCAGGATTCACAAAAAAACCTGTTTCGAATGAAAACAATAGAACCTTCATCAAGTACTTTTCAAGGGAGAAGACTGATCTCGGACCAAGTAGTGACTGGGCCGAGGATTCCCTACACAGCAAAACACACGTAAACTAGCCTCCGGGGTGGTTGCTGAGGAAGGCCCCTCCGATGCTAAAGTCAGTTCAGTGTCTAGAGAGAATAAGCTATGCAAGAGAATTAATTGCTTGAGGCTCTTTTGAATGAATGATAAATGAGACAATTGATGGCTTTTATACCTTGCTCAATAGAGGAGGATTGGGCCCTTGAAGTCAGATGGGCTTGCCATGCTGACTAGGCTTGATTGACTTTAGCATCCTTTGGAGAGTTGAACCTTGCTTTTGGGCTTTTGCAATTAAATCATTTGGGCCGGCCAAATTAGGTTGACTGAATTGGACCCAAACAACTTGCCTCCCAGACCCGATTTGGAAGGATGACGGGTCTGATTTTGACTTGCAAAATGGAGGGAAACAAATGATTGTAACTTGAATTTTGGAATCTGGACAGTTAATGATGTTGTAACTGTCATTAAGGAGAATAATTAGGGAAGGTAGAAGGCTTAGTGGGTAGTTAACTTAGGAACGTGTTTAACGGTTGTGTTTAAGTGGAATTTAGTGGGGTTTTTGGCGGTTTTAGACTCTTGGAATTCTTGATTTTAGCAAGCTTATATAAACCGCCCTCTCCACCTTCTCTAATCACTTTTCGCAAACACACTTCCTGAAATTCGCACAAACCCTTAAGAACCTGATTTTACTCTTTCCTTATTCTCTGCAATTCCGAGCCTTTAAACTGAAATTTGTTGCTCCGAGTCAATAGATCGGCAAATTCCGAGTTTGATAGAGGTAATCTTTTCCAAAACTTGTTTGGATTTTCTTGTTTTCAAACCTCTTTCCCTTTTCCTCGATTTCTTTGATTTTTACACAAAAATGGTCCGAGACTTGGGAAAAAGACCCATGGGTGCTGAGGAAGAGGAAGTTCCTCAGCAAGAGGCTAGGCGTCTTCAGCCACTTGGGCAGATGCCACCTCTAAGAAACCTAACCTCCTTCCCTAGGAGAGAAGATAGGGTTTCCTCTGGGGACCCACCCATTGCTGTGATACCACTGACTTCGGTGCCTTACCGAGGTTGGGAGGAGGCTAGCACCTTCAGCAGCGGTTCAGCGCATGGGCCGATGCGATTGCCGTCTGGGGCCACTGTATGGCATAACCCACCTGAGAACCATGGGTTGATGAATGCTGCTCCCTACGACTGGTGGGTCAAAGGAAATGCCCTCCATCACTTCGCCGAGCAAATCGAAGTGTTCTATGGCATTATGGAGGAAGACGGGTATTAGTGTCAAATGCTCATAGCCAAGGATATGATCCATAGGCCACCTCCTGGTTATGTTGGAGTATATACCAAGCAGCTGCAGTTTGGACTGAGGTTCCCCTTGCATCCATACATAGTGCAGGTGCTGAATGGGTACGACATCTCGTTGTGCCAATTAACTCCGGTCAGCATCCGAAGAGTTATGACTTTCCTCTGGGTTTGCCTCTTCTATGGATTTGAGCCGAGTATTCAGGTCTTTTGCAAACTGCATAAGCTGATGCCGAATCAGCAATCGGACGAGCACCATGGCCCTGGATGGTGGAGGATTGAGACCCAGATAGGGTATCTGACCACCTGGCCGAACGACACATCCGATAAAGGTTGGCGGGGCTAATGGATTTGGGTTCGGGCTCCTGTTGAGGAGGATCAACCGAACTATTTTGGGGGGCCGAGGCATCTGAGAATGCCGGATCCGAAAATGAAAGTCCTCGACCCAGATGAGTTCTTGCCTAGAGACAAGGAGCTGCTGACTCTCTTCGGCAAGAAGAGAAACCCAAGAGGCACTGGTTGAATGGCCTACGTGCCGGAGACTTGGTTGCCTTGCTACCACTATATCTTCAAGGAGAAGATATTAGTTGATGTCGGCCTCAGCCGAAAGTACCAGAATGGTAAGAAGCTCGGCTGGGGCCGAAGGCTTTTGCTTTTTCCTTTTTTACTTTTCTATCTGTTTTTATTTGCTTCTTTTTCATGCAGAATAACCTTTATTATCTTTCGGTTTTTTAGTGCTGCACGAAAGGAATTGCGGCCTAGAATATAACAGACTTGGCATCAACGCTGCTCGGAGAGTGACGAGGAACGCCCCTATTATAATCGATCCTTCAGCTAGGGCCCCGTCACTACGTCCGTCAACGCTTGAAATAGTCAAGCCCGCCAAATATTCCTAGCAGAAACCCTGGTACTTGAAGAAGGACCCATTTTTTCTGTTGGGCCCTGAAGAACAAGCAGTTGCTGCCGCTGCCGCTGTTGGTGCCGGAGTCTTTGTTGTAGGCTCCGAGCAGATCGTTGAGCAAACACCATCTGTTGCTGAACCCAACGTACTCAGCACCGAAGATGAGCTGTTGCTGAAGACTTCGGTGAGCCTTAATGCTTTTTCTGTTTTCTTTTTCTCCTAACTTTGCTCCTTCTACTTAGATTTTCATTTGAATTTTCCAACTTGTGAAATTTTTCCAAATTTTTTCTAAGTACTAAGCTTCGGCTTGGAGTTGTTTTTTTTTTTTTTTTTTTTTTTTTATGATACTGATATCACTCTTTGCCTTCTTGTCTCTTCCGCTGTAGTCTGACGAAGAAGAGGGAGACAAGAGAGAACAAGATAAAGAATCATCTTCTTCTTCGGACGAATCTTTGGCTGAAGAAATTGCTAGCTGGAGACGAAGAAGAAGGACTGTAGTAAATCCGGGACAATTCCCGATTGCTGAGCCCCAAATCAAAAGACCTTAGCTGGATGAGGACCAGGCCGAGGAGGCCAAAGAGAAGACTCCTCCTCCTCCCGAAAATCGGGAGGAAGAAGTTCAGCAAAGGACTCCTCCTATTCCATCTCAATCTCCTCGGCACATGGCTGAACCTTTCGCTGCTAAGGTTCAAAAAGAGGCTGATGCGCTGATAGTGCAGGCCGAGGATCACGATGTTCTAATCTGGATGGGAGGCCAGAACATTTTAAGGAGGTTGATGAAAGAGTTGATGATCCCAAGAACTTTGACGTTCCATCAACCTCTGCTGGGAACTCTTTTTGGACCTTTCATTCTTCGACCATGGTGTTCTGCGCTGCTCGGTCTTTGCCGATGGTGACAAGAATAAGAATCTTCCCATCGGGATATAATGAAGAGCCATTGAATCTGGATACCGGGTAGGGTACTAGAGTTTGGTGCTTGGCCTCCAATCTCAGCTGGTCGAATGCTCCTCGAAAGAGGATATTCGCCCCGCTACCACCGTCGACGAGAGATCGCCAGACATTGTGATTTGCAATGCCCGTCACAATTACTAACGGGCCTTCATGGGGGTATACCACCCCCTGACAGTCTTCAGCCATGAACAGAATGTTCGACACCGGGGACTGAGGCGCTTGGATGTCTGCGTGATTCACTTGATGGGTCAAGCCCCTCAAGTGTCGTTTCACTGCATTCCGAGAAGTTTCCTCGGAAATGACAAGGATATCAAGAGTTTCTTTGCCTTGTGATTTGTCCTTTTTCTGAGAGAAATCAAGTTCTTGTCGAGGATCCTTTTCGGCTTTTTTCTCTTCGCGGCACTCCGCGAGGTACTTTTTCAAGTAGCCCTTCTGAACTAGATCCTCGATTTGATCTTTCAGCTGAAGGCAGTCCTCGGTGCGATGCCTAGTGGATTCATGAAACTCGCACCATCGATCCTTGCCCTTTTGCTGATGCCACGGTGGGAGTGACCTTGGTTTCTTGAAACTCCCCTCGTTTTTGGTTGTGCTATAGATTTTAGCATGAGGAAGAGCGAGAGGAGTGTAAGAATCGTACCTCCCTGTGTAGGGGGTCCTATCTTTCTTCGACTCAGGTGCCGAGGATGGTTTCGAGGCTTTCGCCTTCCCTTTCCTTGGCCCTTGGCCTTCGGACACTTGTCCTTTTGCTTTCCTAGCCCCGGATTTTGTCTTGTTCCACTCTTCGGCTCGGATGTATTTATCTGAGGCGTCCAAAGCTTCCTCCAAGGTCTGCGGGGGATGCATGACCATGAAGTCAAGGAACTTTCCAGCTTGTAAGCCATTCCGCAGTGCAAATACGGCTAGGCCCTGATCCAGACTTGTGATTCTGGATGACTCGTTGCTGAAGCGAGTCAGATAGTCTCGGAGGCTTTCATCCTCTGCTTGCTGCAGACCCATCAATTTCGCAGTTGTTTTCTCCCGGTGATTTACCGTAGAAAACTTGCTCTTAAATTTGTTGGAAAGATCTTTCCAACCGGTTATTGAGCCCTCTTTCACCCCCTTGGTGATCCACGCTTGTGCAACAATTTTGAGGGTCGTTGGAAAATACTTACACCAAGTAACCTTGGACTTGGGGTTAAGGTACATGTGCCCCTCGTAAGAGACAATGTGGTCCTTCGGGTCCGAAGTACCGTCGTCAGTGATGTGCGCTGGGATTGTCACCGTTGGCACATGCTCTTCAAATATCCAACTTTGGAAGGGCGAGCTGGTAGGGACCATTACAGCCTTCCCCTTTCGTCTAGCTGTTGGGACCTCGCTTCTCCCTCTTAGAGAGGTGGAAGTGGTTTTCGTCCTTGGCTGGGTTCAAGGTAGGGCTCGGTTCCCTCCGGGTAAGTGAGGCGACTATGCACGCTCATCTCCCTTGAACGACGTTCGTGAACGTTTAGGCAAGCAGGCTCTTGCCACGCAGAGGTGGAATTGCTGCTTTTATAGCTCTTGGAGTACCGGGTTTTGGAACTGTCAAAGAAATGGGGATTCCTTTTTCGTTCCCACTCGGTTCTCCAAGTGTCCTCCCCGTACTTCTCCCCGAGCTCCCTAAATGAGGGAGTTCGGCCATTCTCCTCTTGACCAATCCTCCTTCTAAGGCTTCTTGGCGGAAAAGGTGAATGATCACGAGGTGGAGGAAAGGTGCCTGCTTGGGCCTTCAAGAAGTCCATGCAGACCACTATGACCCTCGCCACTTCCTCTGTACAGGGCCCCGTTTGAGGGGTTATTCTCGGTTCGGAATGAAAGCTTTGAGGAGGAGGACTCTTCGTAGTTGATTGGTTCAACCGAGACAAACTTGTCGACTAGTGAACGCGCTGCGATGGAGACTTCTCCGAGGCTGCCCTTTTCGGAGAAGGGGGAGCTTTTGAAGAAGTAGGGGAAGAAGGTTCCGGTGAAGATAGAATCGATTGATTCATCCTCACCGTAATGTGGCCTCTCCTCGAAGAGGAAGGACCATTCTTCTTAGCACTCTTGATGCTTTTACCGCTCTTAGTCATGTTTTTTCTAAGAGTGATTGATTTTTGGCTTAATTTTTCGTATCTTCCCCACAGACGGCGCCAAATTGTTTCGGATTAAAATAATAGGACCTTCAGCAAGCCCTTTCCAAGGGAGAAGACTGATCTCGGACCAAGTAGTGAATGGGCAGAGGATTTCTTGCACAGCAAAACACACGTAAACTAGCCTCGGGGGTGGTTACTGAGGAAGGCCTCTCCGATGCTAAAGTCAGTTTAGTGTCTAGAGAGAATAAGCTATGCAAGAGAAATAATTGCTTGAGGTTCTTTTTGAATGAATGATAAATGAGACAATTGATGGCTTTTATACCTTTGCTCAATAGAGGAGGATTGAGCCCTTGAAGTCAGATGAGCTTGCCATGCTGATTGGGTTTGATTGACTTTAGCATCCTTTGGAGAGTTGAACCTTACTTTTGGGTTTTTGCAATTAAATCATTTGGGCTGGCCCTATTAGGTTGAGTGAATTGGACCCAAACACAACCTTTTATAGAAATGGCCTTTATTAAGTCAATGTATAATATAATAGCAAGAGGGAATTACAGGTGACGTAAAAATTAAATTGTATTTATTTACATGTACTTATTTTTATTCCTCTTCATTTTTTTTTTGCTTGTTTATTAACTCACCGATTATTGACCTGTAGTCCATATTAATTAGACTCATTTTGCTTCAATAAAATGTGACTTTATAGACCCTATTCAGCATTGACCTGACTTGATAGCCGATATAATTAAGTCAAATTCTAATTGATGTGAAAAATCTCAATCTGTACGGTCTATTATATATTTATATGTGTGTACCACAGTCTTTTCACTTCTTGTATCTTTTAAAAGTATTTACATATACTCAAATGTATGTAAGAAATAACATCAGATCAATCCAGTCAATACTCAAAGATATCATCATACTACTAAAATCTATGTAGGGATTCATACTTGTGGTGGCCAAAATAGTACCCCACGAGTTCTCTAGTAAACATACTTGTCAATGATATCCTAGTTTCCGGGTTCAATCATGCATGTAAAGATGTAATGGCCACACTACGTGGAGAAGCGATAAATGCTATTAAGTCGAATCAACACCTATTGTCTCTTTCATGAGGTAACGTTCTTAAATTTTCTTGACTTTATTAGTATGAAAATGAATTATACATTTTTTTTTTTTGAAACAAAAGAGACTTTACATTAAAAAAAATATTTTTGCATGTATACTAGTCTTCTCTAATACTACCTCCATTTGTTTTAGTTGACACGTTTTGACTTTATTACTATTCACTCACTTTTATTTGACCGTGTTTCATGCTTAATACGTAACGAAAAATATAATCATGTGGAATCTTGTTAGATTCGTCACGATATATATTTTCAAAATATCAATTTTTTATAATTTTTGTTTATCGATAATTAAAGATATTAATGGTTGAAGTTGTGCATTGGCAAACGTGATTAAAGAAACGTGTCAATTAAAAAGAAACAGAGAAAGTAGTATTTTTATATTTTCAACCAAACATACTTGTTGGAGATGGCGAAAAACTCTTCTGTAACAAGGTCATAATTTCGAGCTTAATTGTTTATATATGCTTTGAACTTATGAGTAACAAGTTCTCTTAAACCCCCCATGCTCTCCCTTTTTTACTCTCAAACGTTGACCTGTTATTATAATTTCACCTCACTCAGACCATGCATGACACCCATATAGCTGAGATGACTGATTCGTGAGAAGTGGTACTATGATTCAATAGGGTCCTTCTCCTAATCAGAGCACAAATGTACTCTCTCTGTCTTTTTTTTTTTAAAAAAAAATATTTACATTACTTTGACCGGCACATTTATCAGGATATAATTTTGACAATTAATATCTTTAATTGTCTACTAGTAAAATTGTTAAAAAAAAATAAAATTACTAAAATTGACATTGTAACTAATCCAATAATAGAGTATTACATAATATTTCGTACAATAACATTTATTATTTTGTACCGTATTTTCTTAAAAAAAATAAAATTTAAAAGAATATGTTATATAAGTTAAAGTAATGCAAATATTAAAAATAATACAGTATAATAAACTCATCCAAACAAAAAAAAAAAACTTGTGAGTCACGAAGTAGTGAGTAATGGAGAAATGCCAAGTCTTTGCTAGCTTCTTGGTGGGGTTGTGAATTGTGATTCGTAACATAACCCCAATGTGAAGGGTTTTAATTGGTCGACACTAAACTTTTTGGAGCATATCATCTTATAACTTTATCTTAACGGGCATAACGAATAAATATATTTTTGGGCCGTGGGGTATTAACGTATAGTGTACCGACATAAATAAACTATATTTATTTTTAGAAATGATTTTCACCTACTTAGAAATTTTGAGGGCTTAAAGCATTAGAGATTAGATAATATACAAACAAAACAAATATCTTAACGGGCATATCGACATCTATATTTCATGAAGGTGTAAAATATAAGTCGTTTGAGTTGGATTGATTTTAAGTAGATTAAAAATTAGCATATTGTGTTAAATAAATGGATTTAACTTAGCTCTATCTCTTTTTGTTTGGATTATATCAAATTTGGTCCGAATCAGCTTTAATCATCATGTTTCGAGTATGTTTGAGTTTAGTTTAAATTAATTTTTAAGTTTGATTTGGTGGTTGATTTAAAACTTGTGGATAGAGCTAAGAGCTTCATCCACTGTTGGTTTAATTTTATACTATATTGATTATATTAAATCACATATTAGTATAGATATTTTTGCTCTTTAAAAATTAAAAAAAAAATAAAAAAAAAATTATGTGTGATTTCGAATAAAAAAGACTAAAAAAACCTTTTAAGTCTTTATTATACTTCTCTTTGACATGATAATTCAATGATCACCTAGCTTGTAAGATCGAGCTACTATGGAGTCTGGTGTACCTAGAAAAAAATAAATAAAGAGAAGTCTGTGTTTTTCTTCTTTATACAAAAAATATACTTCAATTGTATGTAGGTTTAACGGTCCATTTTATTGGCTTTAGTGAGTGATGTTACATGGTAATTGCAATGAGTAGTATCCTTTAAATATGGTTTATATACGTCTTTCTTAATCTCATTTTCATGTTTAATACGGTTTCGATTCTTTTAAAAGTTGTAATATAAAATTCTAAATGAAAAATCAAAAATTAACTCGTGTATTGAAAAGTAAGGTTGAATGTCCATGGACGGTGACGTACGATTTTCCTACTAATGAACTAATTTATAGACACTTCTCATCATAAAAAATAACCAAATTCAAAAATATGTGTGAATGTACTGTGTACATGACAAACCTATAATAAAATTGGATAAGAACAAAATGCTACAAAAATAATGTTATCGTAATTTTAAAGTCCTTTCTTAATCTAATAACGATTATCTTCTTTGATTGTAATTGTCAAAGTTGTCCCTAAAATTATACAACATTTGACCCTTATATTTGTTTGGTTCCCTAAAAGAATGTCTTGGTCTTAAACCAAAACTTATATTAGACATTTGATGATTAATTACTTATTTGAAATTTTTTGAAAATTATATACGAAGAACGTTGTATATAATTTGTTTCATATAGTGTTCTTTCTAAGTAAGATATTTTGGTAAGCAAATCCTTATTATTACCCTCAAAAGTGCTTCTAATGAAGATTATTGATACCATAATTTCAAGATTGTGAGGTAAAGCTTTTTTGACTTTTGTCATTACTCAGATACTTTAAGGGCTTGTTTGACATCGTTTTTTGTTTTTAAAAAATAACTAGGTTAGAATCCGTGCGATGCATAGTTTATATAAAATATATTTTTATAATTTGTACATTTAAAAAAAATAATTAAATATGAACAAGAATTATGCACCTTGTACAAAAATATTTGTAATTTTATAATTTTAGATTTTCATCAAAATTATGATATAATACCTGTTCAACGTCGCCTAATACATATTTCAATGTAGGAGTCCATTTATTAGTGTGTTATTTACAATTGTCTCATTTTTTAAAGATAAATTGATATGTTGTAGTTGTAATGTAGAAGCTTTTAATATTCAAATTTCAACATTGTTAAATATGGTAGCTCCACAGACACACACACACACACAAAAAAAAAAAAAAAAAAAAAAAAAAGCATCATCCTTGCATTTAGGCGGGAAAAAATTTATTATGTGAGTGACATGTGGACAGTGATGACGTCAGCAACATTTTGTTTTAGTAATATTTAATAGATAGATAAAATCCAAAAATGAAATAAAAAAAAGGTGTTTTCGCTTTTCTATTGTCAGTGTTCAAAAATAAATTATCATGATCTCAAAAGTTTGACTATTTTTTATTCATTATTATATGACATATATCATATAATTTTGAAAAAAAAAAGCCAAAAAAAAAAACACTGCAATACCAAACAAACCCAAAGTTGTCTAGTTTTTGGGATTAATAAATAAGAAAAAACACATAGATGTGTAAGATCCTAATTCGTTTAAATGTGTATTTCTACAAAAATATGCTTCCTCTGTTTTTTTTTTATTTTTTATTATTATAGTTGCAACACTCTCTTTTCACGCTTGTCGATGCATTTTTTCAATCGTTAATATCTCTAATTACCAATATGTAAAAATTATAAACATTTGATATTAAAATTGTATAAATCGAGACGAATCTAACAAGATCCTACATGACTATATTTTTACTTAAGTATAAATCGTCAAATCTAGTCAAAGTGAAATACATGAATAGTGTAAAAGTCAAACTGTTGCAATATATATATATATATATATATATATATATATATATATATATATATATATATATATATATATATATATATATATATATATATATATATATATATATATATATATATATATATATATATGATTAGGGGATTTTGCTCCCACCAATCGGAATGCGCCACGTGGGCCAATCAGGTCCTAACAAGTGTCCCTCAGTTGGAACTGTCAGGGCTTGCCACGTGGCACACGCTTATTCGTCCA